TATAAATTATATTTGAATTAAGCATGTTCATTTTATTAATAGCCTTTTAATTTCTTCTGGGTTTGGGGAGAATTAAATGTTAAGAGCTTGTTTTGAAAACATTCTATTGTGCCAGCACATCAGTGAGTGTTGGTTTAATTTTGGAAAGCATGACTTGAAATAATCATGTGGCTTATTTCAAGTTGTTTCACTAGAAGTGGGTAAGAGAAAAACTTGTTTCGTTTCTAACCAGGTTTTTCCTTAAACTTAAAACACTTTCTTTTGTACCTACAGTCCTAGCACTTCAGGGGCTGAGACAAGAAGATAGTGACTTGGAGTTAGACTGGGATGTTTAGTAAGATCTTCTCTCAAAATTAAAGGAAAAAGAAAAAAAAAATCAAGTGAACAACAAAACCCCTTGTTTTGCTGCATTAGGTTTCTTCACTATTTCAGTTCTTTCAAAGATCCACATACACAGTGCAAACACACATCCACATGTGCGTACACACACACACACACACTCCCTCTGAAGGGAGCTGGTTGTAGCTTTTGCCTAGTATAGACTCTGTCAAAAGGCTGAAATGCCTTTTGTGGTTAGCCTACTGGCTAACCACAACGTGGTATGCTCACATACAGGAAGTCTGTGATTGCAGCAAAGCATATGGTCTTCCCTTTCCTTCCTTCCCAGCCTTGTTTTAGGTGTGATGTGGAGACAGCCACCATGAGGCCACCCAACCATAAACAGATCTCAGCCCTGAGATTTCATCCTCACGTGCTTGTCTTCATCTATTTCATTCCACTCTGCTTTGTCTTTCTCTGCTCACCTGACCCACTGTGAATGTTTAGTTTAAAAGGGCCCATCTGTGATGTTACTTCCTGGGTTAATTATTAAAATAGTTAGTCTCGGTTTTAGCAGATATCACCATCAGCTCACGTACTGCATCTTCTTCTCATTTGGGACTTCACACTTTATAAGGAGAGTTACTATCCCTAGTCTATTCTCTTTCCCTCTGGGAAATGATTCCATGGCTGGTTATGATAAACATGATTCTTATTTTGAATATAATAAAGCTGAGTTCATTTGAATGTATGATATCTAGACACTGGTTCAAGAGAAGAAATAGATCTATGAGGGAACAGGGTCAAACTCTCCACGCTTAGCATCTTTTTGAGTATGTCAGGCTATCCCATTATTAACCAAGAAAAATGAAAGTTAAATACTTTCTCATAAAGACTGGATCATTTCTGTATTAAGATGAGAAAACATGCTCAAAGCAGATCATTTTTGTATTTTTGTGGCAAAGCTTGAACTGCCAATGACCAGGAGTAATTTGAAAAGAAGCTCATCTACTCTGCTTGAGACTGAATTGAGATGATCAAGGTTGTTCACTTGGCTAGAGATGGCAAAGGAATCTACCATTCTGCTGTAGATGGAGAGGAAGATTATCTTTTGTATAATCTGATTTCCAATTTTCCCATTTTTTCTTATTTTTATATTTTCAATTTGATTTTTTTATTTTTAATAATTATACAAAGATATTTCAATTTAATGTTAATTTATGAATGTGGTGCATCTTGATGAATGTCCCAACCAAGTCTCCCTCCTCTCCCAACCCCACTTCCTTCAAATTACCTAGTTCCATTTTCATGTACATAATTGGACATTATGACTATATTTGCCTACCCTGTGTCCTTCTATTCATCAAGCTACCCCCTTTGTAGGGATAAAAAGTTCAGGTAAGTCCTCCAAAAGCTATTGTTGAAATGGCCAGGACCTATGAGAACAGGCATCCTAAAAGATCTTCTATAGGTCTTTTCACAAGTATTGATTATTTTTTAATGGATTTGCTTGTTTTAAAAGTGGAAGCTTTGATCCTGGAAGTCAAAGTGTAAAATCAGATACCTTTAAAACAGGAAATGTAAAGTAGGAACCATGGTAGCTGTTGACCTGACTTCTGTATAAATGCAGTTTTCCCTAAAGCCTTTATTTTGTGTACAAAATGTATCCAGCCATGGAATCATTTTCAGCAGGAATGACAATAGACAAGATAGGTTGAATCACCTTGAAAAGTATGAAGACCCAAATGAGAAGGGAATGGCAGAGGGCTGGAGGAAAGTTTAAAAATCACTTGCCTAAACCCTAGAGAGCAAGGTGCCAATTTCACTAGCAGAGTCTTACCTTAGTGAAAATTTTCTAACCTTTTCTAGTAGTTAATTTGTTGACAATGGTTTGTGAGCTACTTGAAGTGTGAGATTCTATTGCACTCAGATCTATCCCTAATGCTTTTCTGTTCAGTTATAAATAGCTGGCTAAATTAATTTTAAATAGCTAAGTCACTTCTTTTCTACTATCCAACAATCATTTTAGTAATTTACATGTTATACTCAAACACTACTATAATAAGATAAAAAAATTGAATTTCAGAGTTGTTTCTGGATGATGTGTGACTTACATTGACTTGAACTTTCAATAGAGTTGTCCTGCTATAACATATTTATTTGTCAAAACAACTGGCTAACTGTGTAATAAGGCTTAGAGGAAAAATAAGGATAAGACCTAATACTAAAATAAAGCATCAGTGACTCATAGAAGACTGTTAGAACATATAAAATAATGGCACAGTTTTATACATATGAAACATTTAGGAAGTGCATAAAAATTACGGAAGATGTAGTTCTTTGGCTTAAAAAGATGTACAGTTTGCTTGTCCTGTAAATTTGGGTATCCATAGGAGTGTACATTATTGTGAAGTGATGGAAAGACATTTTTGAAATGGGAGTATGATTATAAACACAAGTATAGATGGGTGAAGGCATAATGCAGCTGATTATTTCAATACCATACTGATGTTTGATGATTCTGTGAGTATGTGTCTCTCTATATACGTATGTATGTGTCTCTATGTGTTTCTCTGTCTCTGTGGTGGGTCTGTGTATCTATCTGTACCTCTGTATGTGTTTGGGTGTGTCTGTGTGTGTTTGAATATCCCTATAGGGCTAATTTTCCTACATATATCTAATGAGTCTTGTTGCCAAAAAGGTCAGAGCATATATATGTTCTGTATTGTGTTCAAATTCTTTGTGAGTGTGTAAGTGGAGTGATGAATGTGTTCTAAACAGGTGCTGGGAGTCATGTTCCTTTCCTCAGGAACATGGCAGCCATTCTGTGGTTTCTCTTCCTGAACTGGCCCAGCCACCAATGTAATTTTTATGCTCTTCCTCTTTTATGTTTTTCAGTCAGGATCTGGCTCAGTTTCATGTTTATCAAATCCCTCAAAATATTTTTCAAACATTTGTGGTTGGGAGATTCTCAAAATACATTTTGCCAGTTGATTTTTTAAAATACATTTAATAAACAAGAATTTACTCCCTCTGTCCTTAATTATTTTTTCTGCAATTAGCTGAAATAAGCTCTGTATGAATTTTCTGGGTAAATAAGCGTGATCTTATGCAAATATTCTCTAAAAAGATGTCAAATACTTTCTTCCTAAGAGACTTTTGTTCATGAAGTTTACCTTCCAACTGAATGTCAGGTTTTAAGGTTCTTTCGAATGAGTTATTTTTGTCTTTCTTGAAGTCAGTTGTCAGTGTCCCAAAGGATCAGAAAAAGAATGTTGATATTGTGAGGTTAACTCTTTGGTTGATAGATGGATTCTTTCTATTTTATTTTGATCACTTACCATTCATTTGTTCATCATACCTTTATTAAGACCTAGTATACACAAAGTTCTTTGCTAGAAGCTCACAAAATGTGACATACAGAAGAATACACAAACAAATGAAGTTTTAGATAATATTTAGTAAAACAGTTGTCCTAGTCTGTCATAGAATACCAAAGGCTGGGCAATTTCTGATGAATAGGCATTTCCTGGCTCACATACTTGGAGACTCAGAAGATGATGTAAAGTTAGCAGCATCTAGCAATGCTGTATCATCAAATGACAGAAAGTGGGAAGGTGAGAGACTTTACCATCCTCCTGAACATACTTTCATTAAGGCACTAATCATTCCTATAAGCTGGGACAGTTTAATCTTCATAGTTTAATCATGCCTTAAAGGTTCCGTCTCTTAGAATTGTTGCAATAGCAATTATATCAAGACATGACTTTAAGAGGGCACAGAAACTCAAAGGCATAATATACTAAGAGTGAAGGATATGGCTCTCTGTGTGAAATGGTTAAGGTACATTAGCTTCAGTTTGAATGAACAGAACTATAGTGCCATGACCATGTCTCTATTTCATATTCAGACATTATCAAAGAAGTCTTGGAAAGTACACTTACCACATTTAGGAAAAGACTGGAGGTTCAGTTAGAGAAGTAAACCTCAAATTCATGATCGTTCAAGCTAGGACCTGTGGTAGAGTTCTATAATGCTGGCACATGGGGATTAGAAGTAAAGTGATTATAAGTAGGAAGCCATCCTAGACTGTATAGCAAATGATTGTCTCAACACACACACACACACACACACACACACGCACACCAATTATATAAAATCTGGAACTACTCTCGATTGTGTCTTAGAGTATGTCGAGAAATTTGTTTTCTAATGAACTACACACAATTGAGAGAAACCAGTCTGAAGTAAGATACTGTCATCACAGGGGTCCATGGGGACTAAGGATAGGAAAATAGTTAAACAATGTCCCCTTCCTAGTATTCTGTCTTCTTCTGATAGACTAAGCACAATAGCAGTAATGTGCGGTTCTACTCAAAGTTCACTTTAAGGAATGGATGAGACAAACCTAGGTGAGAATTCTGGTGGCCTCACTTTCCTATTGTCTGACATTGAACAACCTACCTGTTACTTGTGACCCTCATTTTCTCTACCTGAAAAAGGAAGTTGCTCCTTTGCATGCGGGTTGCTGTGAAAGGTAGATATAATGACACCTGGAAACCAATTTCCCAGCCTTAGGCAGAGCAGGTGGATAACTTAATAAATGATGGCAGTAAATGACATGATTTATTTTTTACTGACAAAATCTTCTCTCTCTCTCTCTCTCTCTCTCTCCATTTCAGACAACTGTGATGACCCGTTAGCATCTCTTCTCTCTCCAATGGCTTTCTCCAGCTCCTCAGATCTCACTGGTACTCCAATCTCAGCTCAACTCAACTGGAGGGTTGGTAAGTTAAGTGACTAAAATCCTAAGCCATATGCTAAAGCAGACCATTCTGAGTGCATGGGAGAGAGTGAACACTTCCATTCATAGATATGGTATCTAACAGTAACGTGTAGAAGGTCATCTGGAAGGAGAAAGGTGTAAATCTAACTTTAAAATGCTTCCAGTGATGTGACATATATTCAAGTTATGCTAACTAATGTTTTTACAACCAAAAGATAGTTTTTTTCCTATCCTGAGCTTGACCCCAGGACCTCACACATTCTAGACAAGTACTCTACCACAGAGCTATATCTCATCCCGTAAGCTCCTTTTGGACCATACAAGGGTAGGTATCAAAGAGAGCAGGGTAGACAAATGAAGAGAGAAAGTCGGGTTGGTGGGAGAATGCAATCATAAAATTCTAGATGCATTGTACTCATAAACTGACATGTTGAACTGAAATCTCTTTGTACAACTGCTTAAAGATAATAAACAAAAGTAAAAACAAAGCATCTGATAGTTGAATTACTGATAATTTATTTATTACCTGCTTTTATATAATTAGAGAAAATAAGTTGCTTGCAATTTTAAAAAATCTGCTAATCTTTTAATGTCTCATTAACTTCTTTACAGTACATATCCATTGATATATTGGGCAAACTACATTTGTAGATTTTTCAATGCTGACTTATCTTTGCACTCTGGAATATGATTTAGATCACATAGCCATTCACAGCATCATAAAATTAGAAAAAATGCTTTCATACTGAACATATACAGACTTTTCCTTGTCCATATTTTTTACATACTATGGTATATTAGTCATTTATATCATATAAATAACCCAAAATACAGGTATCATAAGTAATCTAGTTATATTCTAAACTACAGGGGTAAATGTGTATATATTAAATACAAACTTTATATCATTTTACACAAGGGACTTGAGCATGCATGGATATTGGTAACTAAGTAAGTTTTTAGATCTTTATCTGCTGGACTAAAGAGAACATATTGTTCTAAAAGGAAAAGAAAAGCCAACAAGCCCTAAACAAAGCGTAAGAATAATAATATATTTTTGGACTACAATTTCCTTTTGCTAAATATTCTGTGCCCCAAATTTTATCAATTATTTTAACTTAGTCCTAACACAGATGTTGTAAGGTAAGAACAATTACTGCTTGCCCATAAGTTATTGCTACTTGCCCTGTTTTTAAGGGTTTAATAGTGTGTAAAATTTTTGCAGGAAAGAAAGGGAAATGCTTGATTCAAACCTGATTCCTTCAAATCTAGAGATTAAGCTTAAATTCACCATGATATTAAGTTGATACAATAGGACAGGTTGAAGTAGGGTGGAGTACAAAGAGTAACTTAAAAACTAATTAACCAGTGTTCAAATGCTGGGCTATTACACTTAAATACTCTGTGAGTTTCTACAAAACATTTAATTGTTGCCAAATCCAGTGTTTTTAATCTGTCAACTACCCTCAATAATGTCTGCCTAGCAGCGTATGTGCATAACGAGGTCAGACTGGTATATCCCAAAGATCTTTCCCACCGAAGATTAGAAAAGTGAAATGGAGCATGGAGGCCTATTTTTCTTTTTTCATTTCAGAATGACACACAAATTGGGAAATTTTAACAGTCTCCAGTAGGGATTCCAGGGACAGAACTCGTCTCATTCCCACCCAAACTATTGGAGCAGGAAATTATTACTGCCTCATGGCTCCTTGGCAATTTCTGCCACCGATAAGCTGTGGGTCTGATCACCGGCTAGCTTCCTCCCTAGTGGACAGTAGATAGTGACTGAGAACAGGTGTGTCTGTTCCAACTTATTATAATTGTCCTGATCCAGCTCATCAGGGAATCTAGGTGCCTCCGGCCTCGACTAGCATGAATGCGTACAAAGGGAGACCGACCTCTCTTCTTTCTCTTAACTAGAGCCTAATCTAAACTTGGAAGGCTGAGTGGAAGCTATGGTCATGGAGTTGGGGTTCCTTGGTTGAGATTTCACTTTCTAGCTCAGCAGTCAAGGTGCTGACAAGAGTCCCTGCTTTCAGGGGAGAATACAGTTGAGCTCAGGAAGTGATCGATTATGCAGCTCTAGATAAGAGCTGCAGCTCTAGAGCTGCATATTTGAATCACTTGAACCATTTTACAGCCTATCTCCCAAACACACTGAATTAGATGCCTAAGATGAGGTTCAGGCAAAGATATCGATCAGCTGGATAAATTAAAGCTTTCTAGGGGCTTCCAAAATGCAAAAGGAGTTGTTAAGTAGGACATTGGGTAAATTCATGAATAATAAACACTTCCATGAATTTTGACTTAGCATTTGCTATGTACTAGATAGCCTGCTAGAATCTCACAACATGATTGGAAAAATAGGTACAGACATGATTGGTAAAGAGTTCATATGAAACTTCATTGACTTACTCATGTAACTGTAAACCCTCTGTACAGCATCTTTACAATAAAATAAAAAGAAAAAAAGAGTTCATATGAGAACTGGGTGCTAGTGGCTGATGCCTATAATCCTACTTCCTTAGGCAGCTGAGATTAGAGGATTACAGTTCAAAGCCAGCCTGGGTAGGAAAGTCCATGAGACTCTTACCTCCAATTAACCACAAGAAAGTCAGAAGTGGTCTGTGGCTGGAACTGGTATGTTGCTAGTCTTGAGCAGAAAAGCTCAAGGACAGTGCCCAGGCTCTGAGTTCTAGCCCCACAAGTGACAACAACAACAAAAACAGACAAACAAAACAGTGTTCATTTGAGAATGTAAACTTGAAACTGTGGTATAATTAACAGCTAACATTGATTAGTTTGGAAATAGTGGCATTAATTCTTTTATCTGGATACTATATGTGTATGTGTGTAAAATTAACTATACATATGGATCTTGTATTTATCAGATTACATAGAGGAAATGTGAATATAAGTAAGTAGTTGATCATTTAGACAGCTAAGACTCATACATATATAGGTAGATATGTGAGTATAAGGCATACAGCATGTATATCCATAAATACAAGAATATGTGTATATAATTAATGCTCAGCATCTATATGAGATTGATTCCAGGAATCCTACACTATCAAAATCCATGTATCATCTGTCCCTTGTAGAAAATGATATAGGGGTTGCCCATTACCTATGAACATTCTTCTGTACATCTTAAGTCATCTCTAGATTAATTATAATTCTTTTTTTTTTTTTTGGTCGTGGGGCTTGAACTCTGGGCCTGGGCACTGTCCCTCAGCTCTTCAGCTCAAGGCGAGCGCTCTACCATTTGAGCTACAGCGCCACTTCCAATTATAATTCTTAATACAATGTAGATGATATATAAATAATTACACTATATTGTTTGGAAAATAACAAAATAAAAAGATTTATAAATTTTGAGACCATAAAATAATAATTTTCAAATATTTTAAAATTTCTGTTTATTGAATTAGCAAGCATATATATAAATATATAGTATATCTACATATATATCCCAAGGATAAGAAGAGTCTATGTTACATGTTAATATGCTTGAAGTAGAATATACATATCTGTAGATAGATATATTTACATATATATGCATAGAATATATACGTATACTCTATACAGATATTAATATAAACTATAAAAGAAATTGTGTGATGTTATTATGAACAAATTTTGTCAGTTAGTTGAAGAGAAAGCCTATAGCAATATTTGATGTTGAAAATTTCATTAAAAATAACTAATTATTGTTTTCAAACCATACTTGTGTCCTCTCTTTTCACTATCAGGGACTAAAAGCAATTATAATACCAACTACTCTTTTCCATATGGATAATTTAAATGTTCCCTTTCTGTTCTATGAGTGCACACATCATAAAAAACATGTTATTTTTGTTATCTATAGAGATGTCAAAGAGATTGAATATGAGGGCTTCACTCTCCTAGTACGTAAATGGTACCAGAATGCAGCTGAATACCACAACAAAGATTGGTCTTAACAATGGAAATTTTGTGCTACTTTTATTAGTTTTCTTTTTTCCTCATGGTGCTATTGAAATTAGCAAGTAAAACTTCATATATTTCCAGTATATGGTGTGATGACTTGACACAGGTATACATTGTAAAGTGAGTAGCACAATTGAATTATTTACCAATCTTTAATATCTATAACTTCTCATACTTACTGTGTAAATATTTGTGTATGTCGAGAAAATTATATCTACTATCCTAGCACACTTCAGTTATACAGTGGGATATTATCAACTAAGGAACCATGATGACTCTTATATTGTCATACTTTATTCTTTTAAATGAAAGATTATATTCTTCTCTTAATATCTATCCATTTCCCCTGATTCCTGGCAACCAGCAAACCACTACTCTCCTTTTTTAGATTCCCTATAAGTGAGATTGTAAAAGTCTAATCTTTCTGTGTTTGGCAATTTCATATAAAATAATTAATTCCTACAAGGTGCATGCATATTGTTATTAATGCAAGGATTTTTCTAGTTTATGGATGAATGCCATTCCAAAATATACTTCCTTACACACATATATACACAAACACAACTCTATTTACATGCTTATCCATCAACAGATTCTTGAGTTGTTTCCACATATTGGCCACTGTGAATGCTGCCAACAGTATGGTTGTGCAAGCAGTGAATGGAGAGACTGATTTTTGTCCTGTTCATTCACTTGCACAGAAGTAGTATTACTCAATTGTACGGTAAAACTAGTTTTAATTTTTTGAGGAGCTGTGCTATTGTTTTCCATAACTTTTGTACCATTGTACCTTTGTATCAGTATTGCAAAAGGGGAGAAATATAAAGGACGTTGAATCCTGTCAAAGCAGATGATTTGCAACTATGAAAATGTAATGAGAAAACCTGTGGGGAATGTTTTTTGGGGGGAAGAGAGAGAGTAGCAGAGAGTGTAACAGGCAGTGAGGCTGATTTCAATACAGAATAAACAAGGGAGGAGAGAGGTTCCTCTGTACAACTAATATAAGCTAGTACAAATAAAACTAAGTAA